CGGTGTTTGGCGTCTCAAGCCTTTTTGAAGACAGAAGTTTGGTCTCGACCACTGATGCGATCAAGTGCTGCAATTCTAGGTTTTGAATAATTCAGTCTTTCGAAGACTGAAGTTCGATGGGCGGGTTTAGGCTCCTCTTTTGGCCTTGTGGCTTGTGGTCTTGGCTTCCTCGTTTTTTTGTAGGTCACCGATGTCCGCCATTTCTTATCACCAGTAGATGCATCTTGGTTGCTTGCCCCCGGTGATGGTTGTGTAGGAGGTGCCATGTGACTTGAACATTGACGGGAATGATCATGCGTGCTTCGGAGATGCACAGGATCGAGTGATTCAAACACGATAGTAGTAGTGTGTGCCGCCACCGTGTCTTCGAGGTCAAGCTCGATTTCCCCTTGCTGTGCTAGCTTCAGGATGAGATCTTTCAATACGAAGCACTTTTTCGTTGGATGACTGATGAAGCGGTGGAATTTACAGTATCTTGGGTTGTCGGTACGATTCATCTCTTCCGGCCGTCTGCACTCAGGCAAACTGATCACCTTCTTGCCCAACAGGTCATCTAGCATGGCAACTACATCAGAGTCGGGGAATGGATAAATCTTCTCCTCAAGCTCCTTCAAAGTGCGTCTACGCATCTCTTGATCACGAAAAGCTTCGGTTTGAATCGCCTTGCCTCGTGTGGAGATTTTGACGGGAGCTGTGTTGACCGTCATCGCTTCCTTGGTGGGTTTCCATGCAGCCTTTTCCACCTTTGTCCCAAGAACTTTGTTGTCCTTGTAGTCGCGATCGGCGATCGGTTCTTTCTTCCCATGATGGGCGATGCTCAACTCCATATCATGGGCGCGAGTGGCCAATTCCTCGAAGGTCCGCGGTTTAATGCCTTGAAGGATGTATTGCAAACCCCATTGCATGCCTTGGATGCACATCTCGATTGAAGAAATCTCGGAGAGTCTGTCCTTACAGTCGAGGCTTAGATTACGCCATCGGTTGATGTAGTCCATGACTGGCTCGTCCTTCCACTGCTTTGTGCTTGTTAGCTCTAACATGCTCACAGTGCGGCGGGTGCTGTAAAAGCGATTGAGGAATTCCCGCTCCAATTGCTCCCAACTGTTGATGGACTCAGGCTCCAGATCCGTGTACCACTCAAAGGCGTTTCCTTTCAGCGAGCGCACAAACTGCTTGGCGAGGTAATCCCCTTCGGTTCCTGCGTTGTTACAAGTTTCAACGAAGTGGGCAATGTGTTGTTTCGGGTTTCCCTTTCCATCAAATTGCATGAACTTTGGTGGTTGATAACCCCTCGGCATCCTTAAGGCGTCGATCTTCTTTGAATACGGCTTTGAGTACAACCCGGAGGTATTTGAGCTCCCTTCGTATTGTGCCTTGATGGTGTTGGTGATCATCTCTTGCAGCTGCTGGATAGAAAGAGATCCCATGAGTGCCGCTGCTTGGTCTGGCTCGGGCTTCGCATCGTTTTTCTCCACCTGAGGCTCATCTTCTGGGTTAGGGTTCTCGTCGTCCTATGGCTCCAGTCGGCTGACGAGTGCAGCGATTTGCAAGTCTTTTTCTTCCACAGTTCGGGTTAGCCTTGCGATTGCTTCATTCATCTGAGCCAGTTGTTCTTCAACGGAGGTAACGCCGATAGTCATGACTTGTGCGACCAATAATAGACGTGACTTTCCTTTAGACATCCAGGATGCTGATGAAGAACGTCGTTGGCTGCTTTGGGATGTCATCTTATGTGCCTCAGCATCATGCTTCGGTGCCCCCAGCGAGGTCAGGTTGATGACATACTCACACCTTGGATGCTCCCCTTGCTCTTTTAGCGGCACCAATTTTGAAGTGGCATGTTGAGGAGCGGTTGTGGCGCCAATGGATTGTCCGTTTGCGGCAGAAGTGCTTAGGATCCTTCCCTCAGTGGTTGCGAGAATGGCTTGTCCCTTGCTTGATGCCATTGACTTTGAGGTGTGCTTGGATTCCTTGAACGGAGAAAGAGATGAGAGGTAGAGATTGTCCCACTGGGCGTGCCAATTTGTGAACACGGAAAATTCCTGAAACGAATGAGACAAGAACAACGCGCACAAACAAATATTATGTATTTGATGATTTTGGGTTACAATCTCTCTCTATTTTGATCCTCTGATTCGATCTCCGTAAGGTGTGTATTTGTGGATGTGTGATTGATCCAAAGGGCCGTTGGGCTTGATCTAAGGATGAACGTTCTTCAAGGGCCGTGGACTTGATCTTGAAGGTGGATTTGAGCGGATCTTCAAAGGGGCTTTTGGGCTTGATCTTTGAAGAACAGTGACGAACGGATCTCCAAGGGCTTTTGGGCTTGATCTTGAAGAACAGTGATGAACGGATCTTCAAGGGCTTTTGGGCTTGATCTTGAAGAACGGTTGGATGTGTGGATTTGTCGACGTTGTTGATCCAAAGGGCCGTTGGGGCTTGATCTTGGATGAACGGATGATGAACGATGGTGCTTTCTTCAAGGGCCGTCGGGGCTTGATCTTGAATTGGTGGATGGTTGATTCAAGGGGCCGTCGGGGCTTGATCTTGGAAGAACAATGAACGAAGAACGAAGAACGAAGAACACTTTCTTCAAGGGCCGTCGGGGCTTGATCTTGAATTGGTGGATGATTGTTGATCCAAATGGCCGTTGGGGCTTGATCTTAGGATGAACGATGAACGAAGAACGCTTTCTTGATTCTTCGGGAACCTGGATGCTTGAGAGCTTCGGAGTTTCAGAGCTTCAGAGCTTCAAGAGTTTTGCCTAATGATTTTGGTTCCTCCTCAAATGAATGAAATTGGCTTCTATTTATAGAATTTTCCAAGGCCTAATTTTGAATATAATATTCCAGATGAAATAAGTCGTTTCTGCCAGGTGTTGACACGTGTCCTATTTGATGACTTTTCCAACTCATTTCAATTTTCGTTGAGTCACATGCTACGTGTAAAATTTATGTAATACATGAGCGTTGACACTTTGATTTATCGGTCAACATTTATTTACCGAAATTTCGATGTCTACAAAAACAATTAACATATTTGGTCAAGGCCAAGAGCCTCACGCGCCCACGATGAATGGGGGGGCTTTGGCCGAAGAACCTCCGATGCCAAAGTTAGAAATTAGAGAGAAAAAGTGTTTAGAGAATTTTTTGGAGTTTTGTAAGAGTATGAACTTGGGTTTTTAGAGAGAATAGGGACATATATATAGCACAAGGAGGTGGCCGGCCCTTGAGCTTTTTTGTGTGAAAAATGGGTGATTTAATGGATTAATTGGGAATTAATCCATAAATTTGCCTAATTAATTTATATAGGAGGTTATGGAATAATTTCTTTGTAGAGGATATAGAGTAAAGATGGATGAGATAAATTTGAACTTGTTACCTATTTTTTAGTTGATTCTCCACTGCTTGCGTGTAGGAAATCCGTTGTGTCTTTTTACCCAAAAATCCACGTGTTGCCTCTTGATTATTTTTGGCTCCACAAATACTCCCACACCTGTTGGGCTGCTCGTAGGAAATGACAGTAGGTGTAGAGATCTTCTTGCTCTAGGAAACTTAAGACTGCTTCCTGTTTTGATGTAGATTCCCTCTTTAATATGAAATTAGATCCTTCTAGGAAAGGGAAATAAATTTCTTTCAAAGCCTATTTAAGTCCACCTTAAGTGGGTTATTAAATCAACTTTGGAGAGTGATTTATTCTACCCTACAAGAGAGAGAGAGCTTAGAGGATATTTGTTCCCCCTCCTTTAGCAATCTTCTACATCTTGCCTGTGCAAAGGATCATATTTCGTTGCTTTCTTTGTCTTTTCTGGACCGCACCGATGTAAGAACAACTTAATTCTTCTTGTCTTATTCTTGGGTGGTGTTGCCATGGGGCAATCATCGAGGTGATGCGGCACGTTAGCTGGCAGGGACCGGGAGTCGGTTTGGCATGGGCCAAGGAAGTGGTTAACAGGGGTCATTGCTTACGCTGCTCGGCTTGATTGAAGCCAAAGGTTGGCTCGGTATAGGCCGAGAAAGTGGTATGGCATGGGCAACGATTTGGGCTGCCATGTCTGCGCTGCTTGCCCAAAATGAGGAAACTACTTGAGTTTGATTTCTTTGCTGCCGTAGATAGAGCAATCAAGGATATAGTTATCAAGATCAGAATTGCCGAAGATGAAGTGTTGGATAAGCGAACTATTAAGTGCAAAAAATGGTTGTTGCCTAGTTGATCTTCAAGCATTTGATCTTTTAAACTATGTGACCTTCTTGCATTAGAGAGCTTACCCAGGTGGGTGTCGGGAAATTAGTTTACCATCTTGCACTATAGAGCAATTAGTTTACCCTCTCACACTGGAGAGCAATTAGTTTAACCTCTCGCATTTGAGAGTAGACCCTTTTTGGGTGTCGGGGAATTGGTTTACCCTCTCGCACTGAAGAGCAATTAATTTAACCTCTCGCATTGGAGAGCAGACCCTTTTAGGTGTCGGGGAATTAGTTTACCCTCTCGCTCTGGAGAGCAATTAGTTTACCCTCTCACACTGGAGAGCATTTAGTTTAACCTCTCGCACTGGAGAGCAATTAGTTTACCTTCTCACACTGGAGAGCAATTAGTTTAACCTCTCGCACTGGAGAGTAGACCCTTTTGGGTGTCGGGGAATTGGTTTACCCTTTCGCACTGGAGAGCAATTAGTTTATCCTCTCGCACTGGAGAGCAAACCCAAAAAGGGTTTTGAGCAGTTGTTGTGGACAGCAATTGAGCCAGGCTTATGAATAACTTCTTGAATCTTCATTGAGAATAAAGAAATAAATCAACTGTGCTGGAAGGTAGAAACTGCATAACAAACTGGATATTCTTCGGCTTGTAAAGCCTTATTCGTCGAGCTGCTTGAGTCTTCGAACTTATTTGGAAAAAATCCAAACGTGGTTCAGGGTGTGATGGGAACTTCCCCTGCTTATGTAGGCCATTTTGTTGACCTGTCAAGATGCTCGTCATATCGGCCCTCATTTGTCAGCTTCTCAAATGTACTGCTTCCACTTCAAGCAGTCGTTGGTAATGTGGCCTGGTCCTTGATGGAATGCGCAATATTTTGTATAATCCAGCCTGGTAAGATCACATTTCATGGGTGGCGGCAGTTCGAACCAAGGTTCATTCTTGAGCTTGCGAAGAATTTGACCGATTGGAACTGTGAACTTGGTGAATGTTTCAAGTGCTGAGTCTTCTCTGGTCGGGGAACGTTCTATGTGCGTATTTTCTGACTCATTTTTGTTAGACTGCTTTGCCTCATCCCATAATGCATGCTTTTCTGCCAAAGCATACGAAGCTGCTAGGGTCAATTCTTCTCCCATGATCAATTTTTCAAATAAAGGATGTTCGGTGAGAAGTCCATTTTTGAATGCTGCCATTGTTATGTCTTCGTTGCAGCTATCAATCTTAGCCTTCTCCAACTTGAACCTCTTGACATAGTCATGAATTGTCTCCCGAGGGTCTTTTACGATGCTGAAGAGATGGTTGGATGTCATTTTGATTGAGCGGTTAAACGAATACTCCTTAGTGAAAACAAAGGAAAGTTCATTAAAACTCCAGATCGACTGCGGCAGTAGAGTGTGAAACCAGTCTTGCGCCTCGCCTTGTAGAGTTGTGGCAAAAATTTTGCACATAAACGCATCGTTGTTCTTGTAGAGGATCATGGTATTGCGATAATATTTGAGACGTCGATCTAGATCTTCGTCTCCTTTATACGGAATGAAGTGAGGCATAATGAACCCACGAGGTGGATCTATCCACTTGATCTCATTCGTGAATGGTAACATGCTTATGTTGGTCATGTCTTGTCGAAGTGCATCGTCAGCAGCCTCGTTTCGTTGGAAATTGCGCAGTCGTTCAGTTAGGAGCCTATCAACTTCTTCTTGAATTTGCCTCTGTTGGGGCAATGGAATTTTTGACTGCCCCGGTCGTGACCTATGGGTTTGGGCCGTTATTCCTTCTGCTCGACTCATCTATGTTACGGCTGCGGTGCATGTGGCATGTTCCTGGTAAGTGAATGGGCTGCTCGCAGACTGTCGGTTGAACTTGAGTCGGATTGAGTGATTGCTTCTTTCCGTTTGCCATGCTGCCTCTTCCAATGTGAGGTGGAGAATACTCCTTGCGAGCCTGGTTGTGAATGATCAATTTGCTTGGAAGGTTGTCCATGTTGATAATCGAAATGTGACCTCAACCGTGAACGTATGCTTGTCCATGGGCTTGATTGGGAATGCACATTCCTCCGCGTGCTGAGACGAGAGTATTCGCTATCCCAAGGACCTAGGAACGTAAACTACCAGAACGCTCAAATCGTGGCTGGTTGATAGGCTGCTTGTCGGGACGCTGGTGGAGAGGTTCATCTACCCTTGTCCTACTTAGGGACACCTCGTCTAGGGCACGTTGGATCTCGGTGCGTTGCAAGAGTTGATTCACCAAGGTTGTCTGTTGTGCAAGGGCGCTTGTCAACTCTATGACTTGTCGAGACAAATGTTGTTCGCCATTTGGATTGGAAGAGCTTGGAATAAATGTGCCTTCTTGAGCAATGGAAGTGTAGTAGGCTCCGAGCGCGAGATTTGAATTGGGAAATGTCAAATCCGCGGTGAAGTGTGGTGAAAATGACTATGGCTCAATGGTTAGTCCGAATGGTTGAAATAGTTTTGGGCCGATTTGGGCTGCTTGGAGTGCTACAGAAGCAGGTTGGGCCACGATAGCTGATTGGGCCACGAGAGTGGGCTGCTCAGCAAGAGCAGGCTGGGCTACAGGAGTAAGATGGGCTGCGAGAGTGGGCTGCTCGGCCGGAGCAGGCTGGGCCGGGGGAGCATATTGGGCCACGAGAGTGGGCTGCTCGGCGAGAGCAGGCTGGGCGTGATGCTCGCGAATGCGAGGCTTGGGCTCGAATTGGCAATGCATTAGGTTCGCGTTGGGCATGGAGTGACATGGCTCAGGCCGTGGCTTTGGTGGCGTGGGCTTTGGATAGCACAACTTGGGTCGTTGTGGTGGAGCCATGGACCTCGTCGCTGGTGATTGCCGTGGTGGCCACCGTGGTGGTTGCCATGGTGGAGCCCTGTGGTGGTGGTGCCGCTCCCCCTAAGATCATGTTTAGTCTCGTGGATCGTCGCGGTCCCATTTCTTGAATATTGAAATTTTCACTTGTGAAATTTTCTAAATTTCTAGCCATTGTATTTCTCTTTTATGTTTTATCAAAGAATCTTGGCAAATAAAAAATTCTAATAATAAGAATGTACGAAAAATACAAGTGGACTAGAAAATAGAGAAAATAGAGAAAAAAACCTTTTTGCGTGAGACTCTTCTACGAGTGTGAATCTCAACTCTCAATGAAAGCACCAATTTGTGGATACAAATTTTCTCCTTCTCCTTCTTTGACAAAATTGTACATACAAAACAATTAACACATTTGGTTAATGCTAAGAGCCTTACGAGCCCATGATGAATGGGGGTGCTTTGGCCAAAGAACCTCCAATGCCAAAGTTAGAAATTAGAGAGAAAAAGTGTTTAGAGAATTTTTTGGAGTTTGCAAGAGTATGAACTTGGGTTTTTAGAGAGAATAGGGACATATATACATCACAAGGAGGTGGCCGGCCCTTGAGCTTTTTTGTGTGAAAAATTGGTGATTTAATTTGGTGATTTAATGGATTAATTGGGAATTAATCCATTAATTTGCCTAATTAATTTATATGGGAGGTTATGAAATATTTTCTTTGTAGAGGATATAGAGTAAAGATGGATGAGATAAATTTGAACTTGTTACCTATTTTTTGGTTGATTCTCCACTGCTTGCGTGTAGGAAACCCGATGTGCCTCAAGGGTAACTTTGTCATTTTTACCAAAAAATTCATATGTCGCCTTTTGATTATTTTTGGCTTCACAATTAAACTTATCTATTTTTCAATATTGCATGGCAACCATGACCATAGACATCCAATCCTCTCACACAACTCAATTTATACTATACATATTGTTTGAATGTTATAAAACACACACACACACACACACACACACACACACCAAAAAAACCCAAACTTGGCGTTACTGTTCATTAACAGTAAAATGGCGAAAATGCCCCCTAAAAATTTTCATCCTCTTCGTTTTACTGGCGAGTTTCTATACTAATATGGCGATTTTGCCCCTTTTGGTTCTACATGTCTACCATCGCTGGGTGATCTTGACATTTCTTTCCGTTTCCTATCCTCACTTCCTCTCGCATGCATAGCCCTGCATTTTCCCCAATCCATACCGCAATCGCCCCTTCAATTCCAACAAGTACCATTAATATTGCCCCTTAATTCCTGCCATAATTCCTCATATTCCACGCCTCTCCACCCATCCCCCCTCAACGAAGCCTCAGATCGACTACTTACCCTGAAATCAAACCATAATTTTGCCCCCAAACGAATCTGAATGTAGTGAAACTCAAATTCCAAATTGAATTGCGACGGTTCTAGGGCTCTAGACAACAAGTCTCGATCTAATTGAAGGTCAAATCCAACAAGAAGTCCCGATTTTGAGCCGGCTTTCGATCTATTTTAGAGAGAAAAAGTCGTAAAGAAAAAGCCATACGGCAAAAGGGAAAGGTGTACTTGGTAGTGATAACTGATCTAATCTGGCGTTTCCAAGTCAGTTTTGTATGTTTATCAGCGTGTATGATTTGGGTTTTCTGTGTTTGCTTGATTCGTTGTTGTGGATGGCTGATGCGGTTTTTTTTTTTTTTTTTTTTCTCAAGCTGCTGTGTTAAAGGTATATGGTGTGTTTATTTTAGTTTTTTCGTTCATTTTCTTTGCGGTTGAGAATATTTTTTTTTCTTTTCTTTTTGCTTTATTCTTGCTAATTTGGGTTGTTTTTTTCATTGTGTTTTTGTTATGAGTTTGTTGTCCCATTTTTGTGATGGACTTGGAATGAAATGGGATTGGAGGATGTTAAAAAAAAATTGATAGGGGAAGGTCACGGTTCAGATTATGAAGGTGTGATATTAGGGTGAGGGAAAATGGGAGAGAAAGCATGGAAGACAAATTTAGGATTAGATATAGGAAAACTAATCAAAAGATTATGACACATGAATGAGTTGGGTTAATTTGGACTAATTTTTTTCTTGACTGATTTGGGATTTTGTTTGGGTTTTGGGTTCTCATTTCTACCAAGACCTTTATGGCTAGACGATATATATATTTTTTGCTAGTTCTCATCTGTTCTTTGAATTTTTTGTGCTTGAGTTTCTGAATTTTATCTTGATCAGTTTTTTTGTTTTTCTATTTATGAAACGCTTTGATCCGTGATTGCCAAGTCAGCTTGAAAGGGGCTGCCATTGCATTGGACCTAAATCAAATTTGAAAAATGCAATTTATGCACATCTGGCCCAAATATATTACAATTTATTGGTTAAGATTGTCTATGTGGTGATAATTTTTGGGGTTTGGATTATACAATTAGAAATGTGTTAGATTATTTGGGTTTAAATTATTGCTGTTATAGTATATGATAGACTGATAGTGTTTCTCACACAAGCAGTTTAATTATTAGTGCATGAAAATAAGGGATGTATTCATTTCAGCTTAAGTGTTATTGGAAAATAACTGATTGATATTAGTTAATCAAAGTGTTGATGTTATGATGGGTTTTAAAACGTAAGTTGTCGATTCATTTTTCATGGCTGAGGTTAAATTGTTGGTGTCTAAAAACAGAAAATGTTTTCGATTCGCTTTAAGTGATGTTGCAAAGTTGGAGATTGATGTTAGTTATAGTTTTCATGAACGTGCAAGCTTAAATATGTGTTGATCACTTCCATGATAAAGAGTGACAAATATATTTTAGACAGTTTTGGAAAGGTCATCATAGATTTGTTATTCAAAATTCATATATTGCTAGAAAACTAGGTATTTACTGAGAATATTCAAAGTGTTGATGATTTAGTCAAAGGGTTAGCAGTGCGTGGTCTAATGTGTTTAAATTCTTTATTTTTTCATGAGTTTTTGTTTAGTTCGTATGAATTCATTTTTAAAGTCTGTTACAACAACAACAACAATAACAACAACAAAGCCTTTTCCCATTAAGTGGGGTCGGCTATATGAATCCTAGAACGCCATTGCGTGCGGTTTTGTGTCATATCCTCCGTTAGATCCAAGTACTCTAAGTCTTTTCTTAGGGTCTCTTCCAAAGTTTTCCTAGGTCTACCTTTACCCCTTCGGCCTTGAACCTCTATCCTGTAGTCACATCTTCAAACCGGAGCGTTAGTAGGCCTTCTTTGTACATGTCCAAACCTATTTTGTGTACGTGTTGATGCTTCACCGCCCAACATTCTGTGCCATACAGCATCGTCGGCCTTATTGCCGTCCTATAAAATTTTCCCTTTAGCTTTAGTGGCCTACAACGGTCACACAACACGCCGAAAGCACTCTTCCACTTCATCCATCCAGCTTGTATTCTATGGTTGACATCTCCATCTAATTCTTCGTTTTTTTGCAAAATAGATCCTAGGTAGCGAAAACGGTCGCTCTTTGGTATTTCCTGATCTTCGATCCTCACCCCTAACTCATTTTGGCCTCCATTTGCAATGAACTTGCACTCCATATATTATGTCTTTGATCGGCTTAGGTGAAAACCTTTAGATTCCAACACTTATCTCCAAAAGTTAAGCTTCGCATTTACCCCTCTTGAGTTTCATCTATCAACACTATATCGTGTGCGAAAAGCATACACCAAGGAATATCATCTTGAATATGTCCTGTTAACTCATCCATTACCAACGCAAAAAGGTAAGGACTAAATGATTGTTGATGCACAAAATCAGTGAGGACTTTGGTATAACAGAAAATATTAAGTTTGTGATATTCGCTAGATTGCTCTGCTCATTAATGTGGATAAGTATGTAAATGGATAGAGACAGGAAAGCAAACACAAGATGTACGTGGTTCACCCAGATTGGCTACGTCCACGGAGTAGAGGAGTTCTCATTAATTGTGAA